AACAGCGCGCTTTAGCTTCACACTTACACACAAGAGATTGCGGAGTCTAGCACGCGAATGTATCCTGTGAAGCGCTCGCGCGGGAGTCGAACCCGCAGGGGGCTCCACACATTGGTGGGCGGCTCCCCATTCCTGCCCGTAGGGAGCGAGCGTGTCGTCCGGAGTGTCCCCCTTACTCCGGACGCTGTCATTTAACGCCGTACAGTGGCGGGTCGCGGTTTCAACTCAACTCAACTCAACTCAACTCAACTAGGCCTGGACCGGGCCGGTCCAGCGCGCTTCCAGCTGTCGCGCATGCTGGAAATCGGCTGTATAGCGCTGCTCCGTCTCGCGCGCTGCCTGCTTCAGCAGGCGCAGGTTGGCGGCCAGGTCCGGCTCAAGGTTAGTCGCACTGAGGAACTGCTTGATTATCCTCTTGCGCTCATGCGGTGTAGTGTAGAGCGGCCGGAGCAGACGGACGTGGTCCAGCGTCTTGAAGCGGGTCAGCAGCACATACAGGGTGGCGCGCTTGATGCCGTTGGGTGGGACAGCGAGATCCACCAGCCAGCACTCGTCTTTGAAGCTGCGGCCTTGCACGAAGTAATCGGTGACCGCCTGGCGGTCGCCGAGCGGCACGTTGAGGCGCCGGATCTGCTTTGTGATGGTGCCATACCCGGCGGCAGGCATCTCCACCTCGGCAATGCAAGACGCCCGGGGTGACAGGATGAAGGCACCACCCCTGCTGGCGTAGTCTCCAAGGCCCTGCAGCACGGTGCCGGGGATGTGGCCGCTTATAGGCCGCACAATGACGGCCGCTGGAAGGTACTTGAGCCTGCGGTAGGGGCCACGGCCGTCATCTGCTGGCTCGCGGCCATCCTCAAGCAGGCTGCAGGCTTCCACCTCGTTGTTGTGGCTCGCCCCGGCATCGGCAGCTGTCGTATCAAGGAGGATGTATCGGGCGCCATGGTAGTACCACGGTGGTCCAGGCTGTTCATGCCAATCTCGTCAATGATGAGCGCACCATCGCCGACATTACGATGCACCTGTAGGCTGGCTGCGCTGCCTTTCCTGACGCTGTCCGCTCGGTTGCTGCCAGCAGATAGGGCGAACATGGCGTGGGTAGAGAGGCTGCGATGTACCGGCGTGCTGAAGGCAGTTGCAGCAGCCCATGAGTAGGCGCAGGTGGCCGCCCAGTGCGGGCAGCCATGCTGGAAGGTGTACCACAGGAGCGCTTGTACGAACTGGCTCTTTCCGGTACCGGGCTTGCCCTCCACAAGCATCTGCGGTGGGTCGCCAGGGTTGGGCTCATCACGGCGATCGAAGTACCGAGCCATGAGCATGAAGGGCACGGCCTGGTGGGGGGCAAGTGTGAACAGCTCGATGGTGTCGTCGATGCTGGGCGGCTGGGGGAGGTGCACATAGATGGGCATGCGAACCTGTTCAGTCCGCTCAGGAGTGCCAGGCATGCGCACGATGGCGACCAGGGGTCCGCTGGTGGGGCGGTGCAGCTCGACATGAGGGGTATCCATCTCAGGTGTGGCCGTCAGTCCCGCGTGGGCGCCCCCATCTGCCTCAACAGTGCCGGCTGCTGCTGCAACGAGATACCGCTTCAGACGCTTTGTTGCTTCAGTC